AACTCTTTTCCCTTAGACTTGTGTTCTATACATGCCTAGGTAGTCTCCAGGATGTAAATGGACATTAAAAGAAATCTATTAATCATACTTGAATTGAATTGAATTAAAACTGCTCTTACGATTGGTATAGTTCTTGATTTAATTTTGATTTTCCTTTAATATAAACTTGTTATGATTCATATAAGGGATGCATAAATACTTCGTAAAATTAGTTGGGACTGTCTGGAACTTAGAATAGAGGGTTAGGAACCTTAATAAGGGCAATTGGAAGGTCAGAAAGCAGCCGGAGACGAAGAAAATGGAGACTGGGAGGAGTGAAGGCGGCTCCACATAGCAAGGAGCCGGCTCAACTTGAAAGGAGCCAAGTCAAACTTGTATGGAGCCGGCTCAACCATGAAAGGAGTTGGCTCAACCTTGAATGGAGCCGACTCAACCTTGAATGGAGCCAGCTCCCCTTTTGTGAATACACAGTAGGTGTATTTTTTATGGTTTTTGGGATTTCAGGGGCTCTAATGCAGTTTTGAACTTGTATGGGTGGTCTTAAATGATTTAAATAAGCATGATAAAATCCAAAAATGATTAATCCATGCTAGGAACTTGAACAACATGAGATTTAAAATTAATTTTGCATGCTGTTAATGGTTTGGAATGATTTAAATTGCTTGTCATTATGTTAGCAAATTAAATGGATGGATCTAAATTTACTCTTGTAAATTACAGTATAATATACTCAGTAAATGTCTTATTTTTCTTATTATACTATTCTCTGGATTTTAATTGATGAACTGTTTTACCTGTTTATCAATTATTGGATTTATTTTGTGGATTGTATGCACCGGTATGAGACGGTGGCATACTAGGGACAGATTAGTTCAAAACATAAGTCCTACCTATTCTGGAATATGGAAATGGATTATAAAATTAAATCCTACTTATACTTATGTCAGATCAGCTAAATAAGTTGAATGACTAACTAGATTACCTGCTACATATTCTTATGTCATGTCAAGGCAACGAATAATTGAGCGGCACTATCTTGGTTTTGGAATGAAATTTAAATATAAATTTATGGTACCATGATATGAGCTTGAGTCTCAGGATCGATGATTAGGGAGCGTATATGCAATGAAATGTATAGCTGGCTATGATGGTGGAGGTATACCCTGTTAGGCTTAGGTACACATGCCCACTTCAGGTGCGTTTTGCATGTTGTCTCTATTCAGGTTAAGACCCCCTTTGTAGTCCAGTGAGAGTCCTTTAGTGTGGTTATATATGTATAGTTATGGACTATATAGTTATTGCTGAGTTATTTAGGATGTATCTGCGTATCGGATCTTTGCTCTGATTGTAGTAGAGTAGAACTTGTTTGTGGGTCTGACCCACCATCATTTTTCAGGTATTCATCAGGAGTAGGGATTGTTTGTGCTGAGTAGGGATCGTCTACTTCACTCCTCCGGATTGTCTCCACAGGAGTTTCCTTTGGGATTTCTGTATCTAGTTGTAGAGCGTTGATTGATCAGTTTTGGTTTTCCAGGGGTCCACAATATGGATTCTCGAGTTGTAATTTAAATTAGAGGATTACTTGTATCAGAGGATTTTATTAATGGAAATTTATCATGAGGTTTTATTTATCATTTTTAGTTTCTGATTAGCATTTTGGTTATTTTTATTTTCGTTTATTGTATTCTGTGTTCGATTATTGCCATTTGTTTTTTATATTCTCGAGTATTCGGGCGTGGACCTGGCTAACCCGTATCTGGAAATCTGGGGATATCACATTATATCTATCGTTCCCCAACATGCTTCGCCCCAAGGCCATCAGTAATGTTTTCCCCTAAATGGTTTTGTTAAAGTGAATGTATGCAGCCTTTTTTTTTTTCTGTCAAAATTATGTGAGGCGATCAAGATGGGCAAGTTATTAGAATGAGCTTTATTTTATTTCAGATGTTTTTTCATCCGTGGTGGTGGCTGGATGTAACCGGTGGGCGCTTACTCATTTAACTAAAATTTTAAATTATTAAGTTGTGTTGCATACTCACCCATTTATACCCCAATCATTTTTCCATCTGGTCCGATGTGGGACAAATCTCCTCTTGTAACATTCTCCCTTACCTGAACTCGCAATGCCCTCGTTGCAGTTGGGCCACCCTGCCTACTTAGGTAGCTTAGCCGGACACCTTCCCTGTAGGACAGGACTGTGTTTGACTCTAATACCAATTATACAGGGTGAACGCTTGTCCATTTATCAAAAAACTGAAGCTGTTGGGTAGTACTGCATACCAACCCATTTATACCCAATCACTTTCTCATCCGAATTCGATGCGGGACAAATCTCCCTTTATAACATCGGAGTACCTAGCAAGAAGAGTTACTAGTTAGTGGGGGATAGGGGAAAGTGATTTGAACCTAGAAGTGTAGAGTGGTTAGCACTTAAGGTTTGACCCTTTACTGGTCGGGCAATATCGCCACACCCGGTCCTCTAATTCTTAGCTCATTTTCCTTTTGCCTTCTTAATATATATATATATATATATATATATATATATATCCGTTAATTCTCCATACGCGATTAAGTAATTTAATTACGGTATATTCAGTTTATTTGTAAAATAATGTTTTTTTTAGGGAGGTGATTTGGTGCTCTAAACAAATTTAGGCACTCCAACTTTGTGTATTGATAAGTAAATGACAAAAATAACCTTTCACCATTCCTTTCAACATAATCCTTCTAGTTTTTACTTTCTTTCTCTCTCATCTCTCCCGCTTAATCTCCTTCACTGTGTCAGTTTTTATGTCTTTCTCATTCTCCCACAACTTCCCTACATACTTTTTCTTAGTACTCCTTTCGTTCCAAAATAGATAGCCGCTTTGGGAATTGTGAGTTACAATTCCCAAAGTGGCCATCTATTTTGAAATTAAGAGAGTACGTCACAATTCCCAAAGCGGCCATCTATGTTGAAATGAAGAGAGTACTAAAGATCTCTTTTTAACAAGAAACATCCAATTGAAATTCACTTAGATAAGAAATATACATCAACACAATAACAATTAGAAACAAGGAATATGTTTTGTTCCTTCTGGTGTAAGCATGTAGGTGTTACAACGCCCCCATTGAGAGGTACTTTAAAGTTAAGATTCTATAAGCAAAGAATGGCCGTATAATGGCAGTGGAGCAGGGGCGGCTCGATGTAACTCGGGGCTTTAGACAAAAAATAAAAAGTGACATTTTTCATATCATAATATGCAATAAATTTTTTATTAAATAATAATTAATTAAAAATCATCCTTCTTACTTTTTGAGATGCAAACTTACTAATTAAATTCTTATATTCAAGTGTGATTAAATCTAATTGGACCATTTTCTATAAATAAAACTCTTACTTTTGTATTAATAATTTTCCTTCTAAGATTTTTGATTACTTGTTTCACCTGCTTCCAATTCTTTTTGTTGTTTTTGATTATTAATAATTAAGTCACTATTATTTTTTTCTTTCACTATTGTATAATCTTCTAATTTTTTCATATGATTTGATCGTTCATTTGCTGAACTTTCACCTAAATTTTTTGTTAAGTTTTAATTATTAGTTGCAACAAATTTATTAATAGCTCCTTTTTGAGATTGAATTAGTTTATCCTTTTTTTTTTTTTTTTGTTTTTAAATCTGGATTCATACTTTCTAGCAAGCATATTAAAAAATATAGGTAAAAATAGTCATAAGACTCACAACTGACAAACAAATATACAACTATATGAAAAATATAGGTATATACAAATTTATAATAAAAAAGTTAGTAAAACCAAAAAATAATTAAAGAAAAAAGAACAATATAACATGATTTAAAAAGCCCCAATTCTGCAAATTCTTCAATAAAAAAAGTGCGTTCAAATTGAGATTTGAGATCAATGAATATTGAGTCGAGAAGAAATAAAATTGTAAAGTTGTAATAAGATAGGAATGAGAAAGGAAATGACTTGTAACTTGTAAATAACTTATTGAATTTATTGAGAGATAAGAGAAATCAGAATGAACGTGAGGATAAATAATAAGAAAAAATAAATAAAATAAAAATATAGAAAAAGAGAGTATGGAAAGTTTCTTCGCTTTCTGGCTAAATATTTATTGTCGTGCAACTTACCGAAAAAATATTAAATATATATAGTGCGGGTGTAAAAAAAAAACGTATTTAAGACTGACAAAAAAATAAAACATTAATGAGATATTTTAGGAGAGATATTTTAGGAGATAAATAATTTCTCTCTTGGTTAAAATTTAATGAAAATGCGTGAATCATGATAAAAAAAAAAATATTAGTGTTCATTAAGGAAACAATTACAATATATCATATACAAGGCAACTATAATATTTTGGGATTTTTTTATTGGCTGGGCCTTAGGCGACCGTCTAACTCGACTAAGGCCTTGTGGAGTACGCATCAACATGGACGATGAACCTAAGGACATAAGAAATACAATAGGAAAACCCAATAAACATCCAAAGGTGCATACACCCAACAATTTATATGTATTCCTTCTTTCTTCCATATTTGTTCTCCAGAAAAATTTGCATTATGTGCGCTCTAATTTTTTTTTTGGTTTATTGATTTGGACATGAAAGAAGATTTGGAAATATTTCTTTCTTTTACAACAAAGTGATGAGAATATGATAAGAAATGAGTAGGAAGATAGTGGTTTGATTGGAGGTAGATTTTATGTAAAAAAGAAGGCACAAGGTTATTTTCGTTATTTAATTGATCAAAATACAAAGTTGGATAGCGTTATTCTGGGAGTTTTTTAAAAAAAAAATAGAAATAGGTATGATTTGATAATTAAGAACTATGATTATTTATTATTGACCATATCAAAAGAAGACCTAAATATTATCTTTATATAAAAGGACCTAAATATTATTTTTTTAATATAGCACGTTAAAGCGCTTTTTTGGCTACGTCAGGATTTGTTTCAGAGAACGACCCAAGACCCATTTCATGACCCAGCCGGTGCGCACTACTTCCTCCGGACAGGTTAGAAACTCCGCCATCCTGGCTTGGTAGTAAAAAACACACTGTAGTTGTTAAAAGTAGTTACGTTACGCCCCCAGCAGCGACAGACGACGACGGCGATCTATATATAGCATGTTTAAACACCTTCCTTTTAACTAACCCAAAACCGTCTTAGATTCAAACAATTAAATCAACCCATCATTCCAATCTCGCCACCACAATTTCTAGGGTTTCAGTTTCACCTCGCTTGCAGACAGAGAGAGAAAGTGGAGGAAACGTATTTTAGAGAGAGAAAATGGAGTTCGAGATGCTACGGAATCGATTAGTTAGATGTTGATCTCCACCGGAGAGTAGAATCTAGAGAGAGTGTGTGTGGTGGTGAGTAATGGCGGACGAAGAGAACGGAGGGTTAGCGTCGATGGATTCGGTGGAGTCACGGTGGGTGTTTCAGGACGAGGACGAATCGGGGATCGACGACGATGAAGAGGATGAGGATCTTCCGGTGCGGATGGGCTTGGATTCGGACGATGAGGATAATGCCGAGCAGAGGCTGATTCGAACGGGCCCTCGGATCGATTCCTTCGACGTTGAAGCACTCGAGGTCCCTGGCGCACAAAGGAGTGATTTCGAGGTGCATTTTGCTAATTATTTAATTTACTAGCTTTTGATTTGGAATTTGTTAGGTTATAGATATAGGTATGGTGTTGTTAGGTTACAGCTGTAATGGTGTCAGTATCATGAATTTCAATATCTTTAAATACTCACTTTTTTCACCAATTGTTTCCTGTTTGGTTACTTGTGCAACCGAGGAAAATAAAGGAAAATACAGTCTTGAATCTATATATGAATTGTTATGTTGGCCTACAAAAAATTTGAATACCTGAACTAACCTAATTGAAGTAGTTGAATGAGTTTGGTTGATTGGAAATGGTCTGGACTGATGATTTTTTGACTTATTTATTATCGATATATTTTCTTCACAACCAAATGATCATGAATAAGCTTTTGGACTATTCTTTCTGCTTAGAGGAGCTCCCGTGTCAACCACTTCCATTCCTCTCGTTAGACCATCCGTAGCATTCATAGCAGGATGAACTGAAAACAGCATAACATAAGGTTTGATTAGTAATTCTTGCTCTGGGGATTTGTGTACTTGATCTTTGTAATTTATAAATGGATTCATCTTTATCTGACCTAGGACATCAATAGAAGATGATTACTATTGGTTAAATTTAATGAATTTAAAGTTGATGCTCAATCTATGTAACTTGAGATGAAATGAGTTTCATATTCTTTTGGCAAAGGGTATTTTGGGGTAAACTTTCTCTGATTCAAAGTAAAAAAGGGTATGATGGGGTAAGTATTGAGTTTCATATTCTAGTAAGCCTTTCCTCCAATGCCGTAAAATGACTGGTGTCCAGGAAGCAATCACTTCTGGAACCAAGTCAATACCAAAGCTTTACCATTTATGAGGCCTTTGACATTTTTTCCACTTTCTCTACCATTTACACTTTCTTTGTCGAGTGGGTTTGAAATCATATCTATATTTTGTGTTTTGGTTAAATATGTGATGTATCGGAACATTAACATCATAAAGCTTATTCATGATTAGGGATTGTAAGATGTGGTTGCATTTATTGAGAAGTTAGTCAGTTAAAAATTTAAGGAGAAGTGGAGGATGTGATCATTGAGGAATTGGGCAGTTAAACCCTTGTGTTATATTCTCTATGATAAGTGCAAAAGGTGTGGAATACCTTTGGACTGTTTATGATTGTCTTCTTTGTGGAAGCAACAGCTAGAAAGAAGTTTTTAACGGTAGGTCATTTGATAAGGAATTATAGGCAAAATAAACATGGCACGTCTATACATGTCTAGTTGATAGAGTACTAGCTTCCATATGACTCCCAATGGCATTGGGCAATTTGTGCTACCTGATAGGGTGAGTTGCATGATGATACTTAAGTCAGTATATGGATTATGGACTGTAATGGTATTATGGTTCTGACTGAATTGCTACTTGTTTAAATGTTGACCTTTTTGCCTAATCAGTAATCACTAACTTCTTATTGATGGAGGCTTGGTTGTAGTCTATCGTGTCATTGTTGAATTATTTCTCACTACTAGTGGTTTAGTTTTGATCAATTGAGAGGTAATGTCATATTCAAAATCATTGCTTCTTCCTGCCAGTTGCGGAAGGCATAACTGAGCTACATATTGATATTATAATTGCTGTTCGCGTTTCATTCCAATTTTTCTGGTTGGAATGTTACATTTTAGTGAAGAACTAGAGCAAAACATCAGATGGATCGTCTAATAATTGTTAGCCAATTCGAAACAGGTTTGCAGGCCAATTCGGAATGGTGGTGGGGTGGAGGTGAAGAGTTTAAGTTTCATTTGGTGCGACGGGAACAGGTTTGCAGGCCAATTCGGAATGGTGGGTTGGGTCTCCGTAGATTAGTGCCTTTTAATAAGGCCCTCCTTGGGAAATGGTTGTGGAAGTTTGGTGTGGAGATACATTGGCTTTGGATGTTCCTCTCGCCCTTGCTTTTCCTCAGCTTTACAGGATTGCTTCGAATAGGCAGGCCATGGTGGTCAACTGTTATCATCTTGATAGTGGGAGTCTGGTTTGGGATGTTTGATTCAAGCGTTTGTTTCAGGATTGGGAGATCGAGGAGGCCATTCGTTTCTTAGAGTTGTTGTATCGCCAGGAAATTGTGGAGGAGGATTCGGATTGTTGGTCTTGGGTTTCAAACTCCCAGGGGCGTTTTGAGGTGAGGTCTTTCTTCAGGTGTCTCTCGATTAATCCTGGAGTGCGTTTCCCTTGGACGTCTGTTTGGCGCTTTAAGGTTCCTCTCAAGGTAGCTTTTTTTGTGTGAACTTCGGTTCTGGGTAGGATCTTAACCTAGGATAACTTGAGAAGGAGAAGCCAGGTGGTGGTCAATCGTTGTTATATCTGTCTTCATGATGAGGAAACAGTGGATCACCTTCTCATTCATTGCTCTTTGGCTAAAGAGTGCTGGGATTTGATGATTGGCTTGTTTGGTTTTCCTTGGGTTATGCCTGGATCCACTAGAGGGTTGATTGAGGCATGGAGAGGTTGCCCTGTGGGGGCTCACAGTCAGGATGCGTGGAGGGTTACGCCGCTTTGTGTGTGGTGGTGTATTTGGCTTGAAAGAAATAGGAGATATTTTGAAGGGAAGGTGATGTCGATTTCGGTACTTAAATTCTCGATTCTTTCCACTTTTTTTTGTTGGGTTTCTGGGAGAGATCATAGATTGGTGGAGGATATTGTTGATTTTTTGGCTTCCTTGAAGGATTGAGGTCCTTTGTGGTCTTTTGTATTTTTCTTGGGATCCGCTCCCCTTTTGAGCGTTTTTAATAAAATTTTATTTATTTATCAAAAAAAAAAAAAAAATTGTTAGCCAATTTCAATTTAATTTAGGTAAATTACTGAATATTTGATGGTGTGGTCAAGAATATTCCATTTTGGTTGTATTTTAATTGAATGGAAATAAGACCTCATTTTGGTTGTAAATTTCGTAATTATGTTTTTGTGTTATGAGTCTTCCTTTTCTGTTCACATGCTGAAAAAAAAGTTAAAATTAGGCAAAGTAGTTAGAAGATAGTGATTGTTAATTTTCCTATTATTACTATCATAAATAGAATTTTAATCCGAAACGTAACTCAGGATTGATATTATACTATAGCATTCGATTTCAAATGGAAACGAGTCGTCATTCACGAAATTGAATTAGCAACGTTTGTTGTGATTGTAACTTTTCCCTTTATTATTTCATTGGTAAATTAAATTATAGTTCCTGTCCATACTGGTCAAATTGGTGACTATTGTATCTAGAAGTCTCTAGATATAGACAGTGATGTGATTTGAGGAAGAATCTTCTTATCTCTTCTTAATATGTTGATAGATTTCTCTAGCCATCCAATGTAGATTTCCTAGCAAGGAGCCCTTAACTTAGCATTCTTTGTTGAACCTTCATTTTGTGTCATTCTGTTGCTTCTTTGTTTGCTCTCTGTTCATTAATGGAGTATTCTTTTTGAACATTGTCTTCATTCCATACTAATATTGTCTTGTATTACTTTTAAGGAAGAAAAAGATATAGCTTTGTAGGAAAAATCAGCAGAGATAATATTTTGGCACATTAATGTAAGACACAATATGATGAGGAGTAAGACACAATATGACGAGGATTTGGTGTTTCAATTTTAAAATATAATTGCAGGACTTCAGCATGGGCAGGAGAATTATACTGGCTTTTCAGACACTAGGGGTTGTATTTGGTGATGTTGGAACGAGTCCATTGTATACCTTCAGTGTGATGTTTAGCAAGGCCCCAGTAAATGGAAACGAAGATGTTCTGGGAGCATTATCTTTGGTTTTATATACTTTAATTTTGATTCCACTGATCAAGTACGTCCTTATTGTTCTGTGGGCCAATGATGATGGCGAAGGTATGCTGGTGGTTGAAGTCGAGCCTTTCATCTTTTCTCAGCTTACATACACTCAAATTCTACATGTACTTGTCTTTATGGTGCATACAAATGAGTACCATTTGTTGTTGCCAAATTACTGCAGGTGGTACATTTGCTTTGTACTCGTTGATTTGTAGGCATGCTAAGGTCAGTCTTATTCCAAATCAACTTCCATCTGATGCACGAATATCAAGCTTCAGACTAAAGGTGCCATCTGCTGAACTTGAGAGGTCGTTAAAAATAAAGGAACGACTTGAAACTTCACTGACACTGAAAAAGCTGCTTCTGATATTAGTGCTTGCTGGTACTGCTATGGTGATAGCTGATGGGGTCGTTACACCAGCAATGTCAGGTTGTCTATAAACTATTTTGTGTTTTACTGTCTGTTTTAGGAGGATATAGCGCATTGTGCTGTATTTCCAAATGAAAGGACAAAGAAAATTTTTGTAGTTATTATCTAAAATCTTTACTTATTCTGCCTTCTTTTTTTCTTTTTAATGCAGTGATGTCTGCTGTTGGTGGTTTAAAGGTGGGAGTTTCTGGGATTAAACAAGGTGAGATTAGCATATTGATTATTGATTGAATTCGGGAACCTACAATATTTATTGACTTTATAGTTTCCTCTTGCTTCTTAACACAAAAGTGGCAACTCATGAAATGATTGAGTTTGCATAGTAGTCCCCCCCCCCCCCCCCCCCCCCAAATAACTAAAACTCCCCCAAATCAGCTCCTGACCCTAACTGGCTGAACCAGAGAGCATCTGAAGGGTTGCTTCACCAAAGGTGATCACAGACACACACTGATCGTGACAATTGCTGGCAGCAAATTTAGTTTGTCCTCGGCAACATGGTGCACCTTTCCTATGGCAATGCCATTTTTCTATGTAAAATAGGGAATTGGGCCTGCTGGTAATTAGCTAGGAAGCACGGACACTCCAAAATGGGTGAAGAATCCGTGTCCGACACGGACACGCCAAAAAACGTGTCTGGAATTATTTATTTATTTTTTTAATTTTCGGACACGGCTCGGACACTCCGAGGACACGGACACGGCACGGACACTTCTGGAAATTTTTTTTTTGAATGCTGATATGTTCTTTTTTTTGTTTTGTACTACCCTTTTGGTATTGTAAATGGTAAAAGTCCTGGGTCAAATGATGAATGGGAATAGATTATAGTACACTGACTTGGTTTTTGTATCTTTTTTGGGGACTAGCCTTTAGGTTTTTGTGAATGTTAAGTGTTAACAGTAAAGTCCTGAATGTTAAACAGTCATGAATGTTAATAGTCCTTTTTGTCTATGCTTTTGTATTTGGAGTAAAGTTGCAATGATGATTAAATGATACTAGTTATTATTCTAATGTCTTGTTTTTATTTGGTTTTATAACTCTGCAACATTGTTCTTTTATAGTTTATTAGTTATGGGTTATGATTTGTGTTTTTTTTTCATTGTGAGGTTGATGAAAAATAATAACACTTAGTAATTTTTAAAGTACTACATCATATATATATATACACACACACACACACTATTCGTCGTGTCTGTGTCCTAATTTTTTTGGATTTGCCGTGTCGGTGTCCTGTCGTATCCGTGTCCCGTATCCACGTCCGTACTTCTTAGGTAATTAGTCAATAAGTACGCAGTACAAACCTACTACCTTATCCAGAGCTGTTACTAGTTCAATGAGATCATCACATGTTGGGGAATAGAAGTGTGATCATGTATTTTATTAGAAAATATCACTTTTGATTAAAACCACTTAGGGCTGAGGACCTATGCTACATGGACTCTGCAAAAGTAGTGAAGTACCCGTGTCAGACACGTATTGCTTGGACATGGGTATGAGATATGTGTCTGACACTTTTGGTTGGACATGTACTTAAAAAGCATATCCAATTATTCAATTATATTATATTATTACTTTAAAATGAGTTAAATGCCTATATTGAACATCTTATTAGATAAAAACATTACTTTACTCTAGAAAATAAAATAAGATAATTAATAAAATGTATTTAGCCGTGTCCGTGTGTCCTTCTGGTTGGAGATTTGACATGTCCGACATGTGGATACATACCCGCGTCCTATACGCGTACCTGAGTCAGTGTAACATAGCTGAGGACTTCCATTCTCATAAATTTTTATATTTTCTAGAAAGACTTTTTGAGGTTAAAAGTATTCCTATCATCACAATTGAGGCAGCTGCATGCAAATTTTAGGGCAATGCATTCATAATACAAGGTTTTGGTCTATCATTTTCTTGAAATTTTAATTATGTTTGTGAAGCAAGGCATACAGTTGTTGCAATAACTAATACATTAGGGAGAATTTTTTAAAAAAAAAACTGTGATGCAGTGTGGAAATCGAGAGGAGTCCTGAAGATTTGATGATTGCTATGTGGTAAGCAACATTACTAAGATTAGTCAATTTTGTTGGCTGATCTTTGTATGGATGTGGAAATTCTTAAAGTCTGTGATGTTGTTTCCTTTGTTGGATTGTCTGTACTGATCATTTTACTTATTAGAGATCTAGTTTGAAGAATTAGATGATTGCCTAACTAATACCCTGGGGAAAGTTTCGTCCCTTGCTACTGATCCATCCAATTTCAATTTCGAATTGTGGCACTACTGGGTGAGATTTGGAGAGGAACAAAACAGTCCTTAGAGGAGGATGCTTTGGGTGGGATTCTTTAAGGTTGGCAACCAATATGGATGCATTTTGTTTCGCTTTAGAAGGTGATACAAGGACTGGTATTTTTTTTTTTAGGTAAGTACTCACGCACACTTTACAATTGTCCATCACCGGACTTGAACTCCTCACCTCCTCTTTGAGAAAGGAGAGGTTATACCATTAGGCTAATGTCCCCTTGGTTACAAGGACTGGTAATTCCTTTGATAGATAGTAACTTTAGCGGCGGGAAACAGGAACGAACATGGGAGGACATCTACTATGGGGAACTACCAATATTCTATGCATTTTTGTGCCAGCTCGACACAATTTTTGATGCAAATGCCTCTGTGAAGGAACATTTGACTTTCGTTTCCAGTTATCCGGACCTCCTACTTTGGCCTTGAAACTCAGCTTAAAGGATTGGGTTGGTTAAGTCAATAACGTTGACTATGATTAATTATATGGTGGGATGAGATTATATAGACAAGACAGGTTTGGTTTTAATGGTTGGAAGAAAGCAACTCTCTATATTAATGAAAAAATGTTAAACTAAGGTTGTTGGCTTGCTTCTGAAGGGCATATATAGTTGGAATTCCAGAAAATATGTTATTGGAATTTCTTGTAAGCAACTTGTTGAGGATTTAGGGTTGTTAATGGCCCACAGCATATAAAGGAGGTTAAGGTAATTGAATTAGGGTCTTAGATTATGAAGATAAAAAAAAAAAAAAAAAAAACACTGGGATTTGATGTACTAAAAGCAGCGGAATCTCTATTGTGGAGAATTAAGGAGAGGACTGGCATTCTACTGAATCACACCTAAAGACGTCTAAACATCATATGTGATGTTAGGGTTGCATGTCACAATTTTGAATAGCTACACAGCCTTCAATAGTTGCTACGAGATTTCCCAAATTGATCTATATTACTTATAAAAAAGAAAAAGAAAAAAAAGATCTCTATTGATTCGGAGGAGTGTATATAAATAGGTTGCTTATAGCCTGCTAATTCTAAATAGATTTGGAGTTGAAAATTAAAATTTGAATCAACAAACATTTTTTAATAAAAGACCAACTAAATCTACATAAGGCCGCATATAAGCTTTGCTAATGTTTATTTTTTGATAAGTAATATTTCATTGAGAAAGCACTCAAAAGGAACGTGTCCAAATACAACTGCACAAAAGGCTAACCAAAGACACACTAACCTCTCAAACTATCCTCAAAATCTACAAAGTCCTCCATAGATTCACTAATGTTACTATTGGGGTAGAACTGGTGCAGGCCGAGCCAAAGGTGAGAAAGTCACTGATGGAGTAGAAGAAGACGAAACCTGCAAAAAGATGTGCCAAAGAAGGGAACATCTTCATAAAAATGACATCAAGAGAATGATATATTTCTACGAGTACTAGGGTCATAACAACGGTACCCTTTCGACATAGTCGAATAACTCAGAAAAGCGCAACGAATAGCTTTATCATCAAGCTTTGTACGTGTAGGACATCGGTCCTAAACAAAACATGTACATCCAAAAACACGAGGAGTAATAGGGAAAAGGGTTTTGTCTGGTCGCAAAATATGTAATGGAACACCCCTTAAAGTTCGACTAGGGGTTCGATTAATCAAAAAAGTTGTAGTGAAAACTGCCATATTCCAATAAGATTGAGGAACCTGCATACCACGTAAAAGACACCGAACAACACTCATGAGATGACGGTTTTTACATTTCGCCACTCCATTCTGTTCCGGTGTATTAAGGGCATGTCAACTGATGAAGAATCCCCAATTGATTAAGATGAGACCGGAAATCATTAGATATATATTCCCTCCCATTATCTGACCGGATGGTTTTAACAATAGTATGAAATTGGGTTTTAATCATTTGTAAGAAAGAAATAAATGTAGACAATACTTCAGAACGTGACTTAAGTAAATAAACCCAAGTACAACGAGAGTAATCGTCAATAAACGTCACATAATATTTATGACCAGAGTAAGAAGGAACAGGGGAAAGTCCCCATACATCAGAATGAATAAGATCAAATAAACAAGGACTACGATGCATGCGTGAAATATAAGAGGTGCGTGTGTGTTTAGAAAGCTCACACACAACGCACAGAAACTGATGGGTTCTACAAGGTGCTCGTAATGCAGGAAACAAAGATAACAAATGCTGAAAATTAGCATGTCCTAGACGAGCATGCCATAATTCAAGGTTCGTAAAAGAATGCCTTCTATAGTCCAGTAATACGGAAGCATTTGCAAGAATTGGAGATGTCCTAAAGATGTACAACCCGTCCCTCTCATACCCCCTACCAAAAATCCTCTTCGTAGCTAGGTCCTGAAAAACACAGTGATCAGGAAAGAAAGTCACTAAGCAGGCCAAGGAACGAGTTTAGCGGCTAACATATAATAAGTTAAGGGAAAGGTTAGGCATCTGGAGAACAGACTTTAAAGACAAATTAGGTGATAAAGGGACAGAACCCTTACTAATGATCGGTGTAAAAGAATCATCAGCAAGGCGTTACCTGCCCGGAGGATGCTTCCATATCCGAAAAATATCGAGACTCACCAGTCATGTGATCAGAAGCACCAGAATCTATGACCCAAGTTGGAGGGACAATACTAGACTGAGAGGCATGGAATATAGATGGTGTACCTAAGTGAGCTGCAGTTGATGTAGCTGAAGGGATGGTACATAAGTGAGCTGCAGCAGATGTAGCTGAAGGGAGAGATGCTTGTGATAAATGATCTCAGATAATAGATGCAATTTTTGTATGCAACTGATGCATATCAATACATCCAGGCGGAGGAGCAGGTGGCTCATGGGCACCAAAGGACTCGACAATAGCAGCAATAGAAGAAGTTGTAGTGTTGCTAGATCTGAGGTGTGGGTAGAGCTGGAAGCACTTATCCTTAGCATGACCAGTTTTCCATAGTGTGCACATATAGTAGAACCCCCCCGTCCACGGTTACTGCCACGGCCTCAGCTGTGAGTACCAGCTGGTCTAGAAGAAGCAACTAATGCCCTCTGATCAGTGCCAGGTGCAGGAAGTGTAGCAGGAGCCATCGAAGGTGTAACCTGACGTGGAAATATAGGGATTTGATATAGAATCAAATTGCAGATTCTTACCGAATTGCAGATTGTAAATACTGCCGTCTGCAAGTCACAAGGGATGGATAAGTCTTCCAAGTGAGCAGCTCTGTCTGCAAGAGTGAAACTCGGCCAGACAATTCGTCAACTGCATGAACTGGCCTTGCGGAAGTCGACAGAGAATGAAAAGAGGCTGGACGATTCACCAACAACACATAATGATCGAGCTGGTCATTGGTTTAGAGAGAGACCCCTCTACCACATGAAGCGATGGAGGGAAGAAGACATACCCCCGAAGGGGTTTGGTTTGCTCGGGTGTGGTTTAGTGGTTGGTGACTGAAAAATTTATACAGCACAAAAAGAGGAGAGGATGAACCAAGAGAAGATGAAGTAGAGATCAAGCAGTGGAGTGTGTGTCGTGTTCTTGGCTCTGATACCAAGTTGTATGTAAAAGGCTCTTGTAAGCCACAAATTCTCATTAGCCATACTCCTAATTTATATTACAGACTGAATATTATATAAGTCGAAAGTAAATCAAATCACCGATCCTATGCCTCTAATAGGCACATGATGAAAATAATATCATATAAAATAAATTAAGATCAGATCAAATCCAATCCCTAAAGTTACTCCCAATACAGATCAAATCCCTATATTTTCTCCCAGTAGTTACTAATTAATCTGCTAACAAAGAAAATCCATGGGCCACTTCAGCTACGAAGTCCCACAAAATATGATATCCCAAAGCACCCATGAATGAAGTAAACTTGAAAAAACATAAAGAAAACTATATTAGCAGCATACTAGCCAGAAATAAATGTGATATATGACATTTATCAAAAAAAGAAAAAGAAAAGAAAGTGATATATGACTGACTTATCCCAAAACTTATTATGCAAAATTTAAATTTCAAATCAAGACACAGGTCCTTTGAGCATCCTTGTCACATTCAAGGATGACACATTGATACGTTTAATACCTATGGTTTTGCTAGATAGTTCAACCATTCAGAGCAAAATCTACCATTTTGGAGCACTGAGTAGGTTACTGTTTTGGAAAAACGGTCTTTCTTTGTTTGATAGTGTTGGGCTTAATCACAATTTCTTGTATTTCTTTGATGGAACACTAAGAAATGAGGTGGACAGGGTGTCTCTGAGAGTGAAGCTTTTGGTCTCACTGTGCAAGATAAAGTACTCTGTTATGCAACTATAGTGATAGAAAATTTGATCTGTTGCATTCTGTAATCAGTAACACCTTTTTTATTTTTAAATATGAATAAACATTTTTTTTTTCATGGCAAGAAACTCACACACCCACTTTTCTCGTATGGGGACTTGAACCCTCGGCCTTCCACTTTGGAAGGCGAGGAAGTACCACTAGTCTACGACCTTTGGTGGTGAATAAACAAACTTTATTAGAAGAAAAAGGGCTAAAGTCCATTACACACTATGTTTGCAAAAACCTAAGGGGTCTAACTAAACCAAACGACCTAAAACTTCAGAGAAGATATTCTCACTAAATTACAAAACGGGAGAATCTCTTTTAATGTAATATTTTGCCGATTAGTCAAATTCCTCCATGGCAAAGCACTTGTACGTTAGATAACAAGTTTTAAGAATGGAAAATTAAGAAAAGAAAAGATCTAACCTGGAAAATTAATATCTGAGCAGCCTTAATAGGCTAAACTGATTTTAAACCTTGTCATAAAGATTTTACCCAGCCTTTGAAGTTTTATGAGTATTCTTTGTAATCTGTATGTTGAATGGAAATTCCCGAGTGAGTGATTCATCTATGCAAGGCAAATGTTGAGCTTTGGCATTCCGTAATTCATTATGAACTAATGGATTTCATGCTTGCTAATTACATAATTTTAGCTTTCACCTACCTTATGCTCAAATATGTTTGGATTCAAATTAAGATTTCTACAGGAAAAACTTAATGTTACTTTCTTAATCATGCCTGTATGCATAATGCGATGCATAAGATGTAATATTATTCAGGCTCTTGCATATTATGCATTTCATGAAATCATATATTATTCCATTAGAATTACTACAATCCATATTCTATTTGCAGACTGTCAGAAAATATATATATATAATGTACGTAGTATATTGATTAGTAAAATATCAATAGAAGACGTTCAAGAGGGGATCACATCCCGAAACTCTCAAGATATCAGTAGACTGTCGTATTTAGGGGGTGTGCAAAAAACCTTTAGAACCGGTAAACTGGACTGGACCAAACCAAATCAAACCATACAGTTTGGTTTTGTGCTAAAATGGTTCGTTTTCGGTTCAAGAGCCGAACAGAATGGAACAGAACTCTTAGTGATAATTTAATATAGATATTGTATATAATATACGTGTTCGATTTTGATCAGTAGAGAGTATAACTAATTATATGCCACATTACACAGGATAATCATACATTTAGTTCAAATTTTGGTTTGTTATTGAATATATATATCTATATATGTGCATGTAGATATATGTTCAAAACCATAGAACCGAACCCGACCGATCATTTACGATTCGGTTCTACCGGTTCTTATGGTTTGGTTTGGTTTGGTTCCAATATTTTTGGAACCGTTGGGACTGGTTTGGTTCTGGTTCATCCCAGAACTGGACCAAACCGAACCGTATCCACCTCTACTCATATTCACCAATTTATTTTTTGAATCTGCAAATCATGCTTTTAACCCATGTTAGATTCTTGCATTTTTGTGACAATACCAAGGCAAGTTGGATGTTTTTGGAGTTGTTGATTGCCTTTATGAAATTAAGGATTTTGGACCTTGCATTTACTCATTTTTTTCCCATCAACCTAATTTGAAATGGGTTTTCATACTTTTCCTGTACCTAATTTGAAATGGGTTTTCATACTTTTCACTGGAGTAAAAGAACATAAAGTTCTAGAGTAATTGGAGTTTACTGGCTAGAATGATATCATTGTTGCTCGTGATCAATCATGCACTTTTGATTTTACTTCTGTAAATGTGGATATGTTGTTTAAGTGTTTTAGCTGCCTTTTGCTTTTAAATTTATTGACATAACTTTGAGATGCTGATGCCCATATAAGTTGTAATATCATATCATGTGAACTTACCAAATTAATCAGTTTTATTTATTTTATTTTATTTTTATTGCAGAACAAGTGGTGATGATTTCGGTCGCATTTCTTGTGATTTTGTTCAGTCTACAGAAGTATGGGACAAGTAAAGTCGGGCTTGCTGTTGGCCCTGCCTTATTTATATGGTTTTGTTCTCTTGGGGTCATTGGCATCTACAATATTATAAAATATGATAGAACTATTTTTAAGGCATTTAATCCCGTTCACATCTACTACTTTTTCAAGAGGAACTCCATTAAGGCATGGTACTCACTTGGGGGTTGTCTTCTGTGTGCAACAGGTAAACGCTTGACATGGATATCATATAAGTTGTCATATACTTGTAATCTTCTTCGTATGGCTTAAAAAATGATTGAAGTTTTACATTTGATTTTTTATTTCTTTTAGTTGATCCAAATGTGTGTGCGTGTTTGTTTGATTTTATTTTCTTTCTTTTGGTGCTGCTTATGGGAAAATAGAATTTGTTTGATTTTTAAGAACTTTTTGAAAGATTAATTTTGCCTTTGACATAAGATACCAATGATATTGATTTTTTTCTCCGAGAAATTTGAAAATCATATTTACTGAGGATTGTGCTCAATATAAGTATAGGATACATAGGAGACATACATAGAAAGTATGTTCAAAAGGAGGAGATGATTAGATTTCTATTTGAACAGAATTTTTTTTAAAATAGTGAAAGTTGTCATTAGAACACATTGAATGTTTTCTTCTCAATTATTGAAGAACGAAATCCAATTTTTAACAATTTACTTGTGTCCTTGCATCTGGAGGTTAGATGAATCTGGATCCTAGCCGCATACTCCACATGAAATGTATACCTGAGTTATGCAAATATGAATCTCCATTTAGAAAGTAACTTGGACTCTTTTAGTTCAGAGTTGCATATTTTCCAATACTTAATTTATTTTCAGTTAAAACTTTTAAGAATTAACAAAATTCATGCTCTACTCTACTCGACAAATCCTAATCCTGTTTATTTTGGCTTGGTGTAAGAATGCATTAGTATCATTATTTAGTTCTTCATCGAAATATAGGCTTCCATGTTTTTCCTCCTAGTATTTATGCATATATATTTGGTTTAAGCTTTCACTAGTTTTTTGGGATCCTTTGACTTAATTTTTTTCACTTCTTTGGCGCAATCATGATCTGTTGTTACCCATGGCTAAACTATCATCCTTGATTTTCTTTCATATTGTTCTTAGTTGGAGCTTGCTTTCAACATACATAAATGCTTTTGTTTCTATCTTCTTCATCTTGTCTTTGCCACTCATCTTTCCTCACATCCTCACTCTAGCTCCCTCATTCCTTGTTGTAGTTGTCATACACACACACACATACAAATGCTTATGTGTGCTTCCTCCTTATTTTTGTCATACATAATTGAATAACCGAGTTACACTTCCTTAACTCACTAATTGTAGTTATCTGGGCATCACTTTAATGATCTTCTCCACCTTATGGACAATCAATTAAAGATGATGAAAATGGTTACTTATAGATTTCTTGTGTTATTAAAATCATGATACGTGAGTATGCTTTTGCTTTTCATTTTTAATTTTTCTAACTTATGGTTAATAGTTTTATCCAATCTGGTGTGTTGAAATGTTCTCTTAAATAAATAAGGACTATAAGTTATCTTCCTAAATATCTTTTCAAATATGTTCAGCTAGATCATTGCTAACTACTATTAAAAGATAAGGGGTTCAGTGTTTGATACGGAAAGTTGAGGATGCAAATGTCATGTCTCTTTTTTAGCTGTTCTCATACTAGTCACAGCTCCATCCTTGAATAGGTTTATTACTAATAAAATAGTAACTGGATTTTGATTTTGTAATAGCAACAGACATTCTAGAAAGAGTTCTGAACATCTAAATACCTTTAGAAGCAGACAGTTTTCATTCTTATTCGTAAAGGAGACAGGCTGGTAAGGTTTTTTAGGCACTCTTGAGTCTTGAACCACCGTAAACATCTCCTAAGAGCAAGAGTAAACACTAATAATAACGAGGACAGGTTGGTAAGGTTTGTTAGGGCACTCATTGAAGCACTGTTGGCATCTACCAAGAGTAAGAATAAACAACCTTCTTATTAAGGTTGTAAATAAATTACTATGATTCTGTGAGTAAGACTAACCAATTCTTGCATTATCAAATATAATTGGTTATTTAGTCTTTATTTATTCTTCTTACTCCCCCCTCCTTCCATCCCCAACCAACCTGAAAGAATATTTTAAAAAGAATAAAAAATAGAAGATGAAAACTACACGAGTTCATAGCATGAGGTGTTCATGAATTTCTATTTTTTTATCTTGTACTTTCTTTTTGTAAAAAAAAAAAAATCTTATAAGGTGTTTTGGCTTCTTATTTTCATTCATTTGTATTTTAGTGAATGTTATCACCTTGTCTTTGGCATTTAACCAGTGCTTCTGACATATTTATGCTAAATATATTTGACCTCAAGGTGGGGTTTTAAATCGAAAAGAACTTACTGTACAGACATAGCGCAAACCTAGATATGCATACAAATTGTGATGTTGTGAAATTTTAATAATTTTAGCTGGACATTTTTTCATGTCATAATTCAAATTTGATTCAAGGAAATAAAGCATAATTATTGTCATTTGAAATTGTATATTACCACCTTCTTCTGTATTGCTGATTACTGATTGTAATTCAGGTTCCGAGGCAATGTTCGCAGATCTTTGTTACTTTTCTGTGAGATCAGTGCAGGTAAAGCAGTAATTATAGCAGTCTTTGGATGAGTTCTACCATACGATTCCTTTGATATATGATAATGTAATCATGAAACCACCTGTTGATTCTCTTCTCCGTAACTGTTCTGTATTGCCCTGGTTATTTAATATTCTTACTGTCTAATATTGGTTGTGTGCAGCTTACATTTGTGTTTCTTGTACTACCTTGCCTTCTTCTGGGTTACATGGGTCAAGCTGCATATCTTATGGAGAACCACAGTGACACAACACAGGCTTTCTTTTCTTCTATTCCAAGTAAGCTTCATTTTAAATATTTTTCAATCTAGAAGGTCCATCCATCCTTTTCACTTTCGCCTGTTTTAACATTGAATTGGTAGACATACTTGTGATAATAATTTTTGAAATCTTGGGTACATTTTGTAAAATACAGTCGCTTTGTCTTTTCTTTGATATCTACATTTTTGGGAAGTATTTTTATGCATAATATAAAGTAAGTATTAATTACTGTGAAATTATACCTTCTGTCTGCAGTTAGTGCTTTCTGGCCTGTCTTCCTGATTGCTAATATCGCTGCATTGATTGCCAGTCGGGCAATGACAACGGCCACTTTTTCTTGTATCAAACAATCAACAGCTCTTGGTTGTTTCCCTCGCCTTAAAATCATTCACACGTCTCGGAAATTCATGGGTCAAATTTATATTCCCGTCATAAACTGGTTTCTGCTGGTATTTGCCTTGGTACTCGTCTGCACTATCTCAAGTATTAACGAGATTGGAAATGCATATGGTATTACTTTTTCCCACTAGACTATGAATTTTATATGCTTATTCTGATATTTTTTATTTTCCTTTTCATCATGGAAAAATATCTTGTTTGTCTTCCAAGTAAGTTACACTGTTACTTGAAAACACTTGGAAATTTTCCACAGAGAAGGCGCAAATGATTTTGTTTTATAAATGGGTTCAGCTGATGGCTAAATTATATTATGTTGAATGAGCATCTGGGATGATTGAATATTTACTAAAATAGTTGATAGTAGATTGGCAGTTTACCTTGTGTTAGTTGGATATGAAATCTTTATTTCTATTCAAAGAAACTTTTCTTCTCATCTGATGTATGTTTACTTGCTTCCCTGTCTTGCTGTACTTTGAAAGATTTAAGCCAGTGGAAGTTTCCTTCCGTTCTATTGTTTTGATTTTTTAAAGTTGGAGAGCAAGGTACACGCCTGGACACGTGATTGAAAAAAATGAAAAGAAAAAGGCAAAAGCATAAACATAAAAAAAAATTTGGACTGAAAAATGAAAGAGAGGCTAAAATGTACAGAGCGAACTCCCAACCCCCAATCAAATGTTATTCTGAATACAGAGAGAGAGGTCCATAATCTGGACATGATTCGTGGTAAGCGAATCATTCTCTTCAATTCAAACCCACCATCTTTCTCCATTAGCAACATTGGCCTTTGTTATTGCCTCAATCAGCCACGGTCACCACCACCCCTACAAACCTCTTTATTAATTCCTAGTTGTATGCATGTGTGTGTGCGCGTGCGTGAGAGAGAGAGAGAGAGAGAGAGAGTTACAATTTTGAAAGTTAATTTTTCAGAAGTGGGTACATTTGGAGACATAACAACACTTGTACCTTTTTCAGTTGGACAAGAAGTTATACACTGTGCTCATACACCTTTCTATTTATCAATTATGAAAACTTGTACTCATATTTTATGATTACATATAAAAATAATACATTTATAAGTTGTCATATATTCTTACGTCTATGTGCTAATTTCTTGAGAATGAGTCAATGTGCCCGTATAATGTCGTATTCATGTCCATGTCAGTATCCATGGTGTTTTTTTTTTTTTTTTTTTTTTTGTGTGTGTGTGTGTGATTCTGAAGTTACTATCTTGGTGGTTAATGCTAGCCAAGGTAAGGCTTGCAAGGGGCTGTGTTTTGGTGGTCAGAAAGAGAGAGGGATCCAGGAAATGTGTTACACTGTCCTCTAGGACAGGGAAATGCTCCTTGAGCATCCTCCACTATGCCAACATGTTTGCTTTTTACCTGAGTTGCTAGACTGCGACTTTCCAGCTAGCACCTCTAATTGGCCACTTCATTGCCATGTGTTGGCCGTTCAACTAGCTACTGCACACTTGGACTCCTATAAATAACAGACTAGTCAGCCTCATACACCAGTTATTGTGCTTGCAATTGCGTTAAGCCTCGTCCAAGCACACTCCTGCCTTTGTTGCTACCAATTCCTGTCTTTCTAAATCGACTTTTCTGATTAGTCTGAACACCTTCCCACACATCCTGCATGTATGACCTCCTTAGCTGTTAGTAACCTACCAACTACAGCTTCATGGTGGCGATTGATCAAGTTATAGAGTTTGAGGAGGCTGGCTTTATGTGTTGGTTAGATTAATAAAATGTATGATGTAGCCTCCTAATGACGCTTGTCCCTATGATGGATCATTTAATCAGGATGGTCATGCCAACTAGATTTCCTGCTTAGAGAGAGAGCATCATCTACCATTCATATGAGATTTTTTTTATTTTTTATTTATTTTTTATTTTTATTTTTTATGGTAATAATATATTACTAGGTTTTGGATTTAAAATTATGAATCTTAAGAGACTTAGACTAGAAAATCTCTATGAGCTTAGTGAAGTCCACACTCAATACCACGACCTAAAATACAAACCATGAATAACTACTATGTTTATCTCCAATCTCCAATGAATCTAGAAAGGGCTGAAATTGAACTAGAATTTGTCTATGTGAGGTCCTTAGTGGGCCCTGTCTTCTAATTTAATCAATTTCCAGGGTTTTTCTCTTGAACTTCTTTTATTTAGCCTCAATTCCATTTTCCAGCATATCACATTTCGAAAGTTTTTATGCCTTAATTATGCTTGCATGAAATCCCTCTTCCATAATGTTTATGTTCTTCTTTAGTTTTGTTTGGTTACATAGTGATAGCTGGACTAAAACTTTTCATTTACATCTACCTAATTATGTCGAGGAATTCCCTTTATGGATTTACAATGTTGTTGGACTAAGTACCTCCTAAAACCAGTTCTCTTTTTGAGAGTTTTCTTGTCCATCCTTCATATATTGAGATTCTTCCTCTTTTTGTAGCTTTCCATAGCTTTCTCATTGTATTTCCATGGGGTGTGCCCTTGTAGCTTGTAATATTTTTGTTTCTTCTTAATATACTCTTTCTTACTGAAAAAAAAGTACTCTCTAAGTCTTACTTTGTAACCAGTATTGACAAATAACTGCTAATTAAATCGAGTCTGCTCTTGCAGATAATAATAATTCTAGTTAAAGAATATTCTGAATGAAACAAATGTGTCTTTTCCTACTAATGTGCTCTGGTATTACTTTTCCACTTTGGAGAAAACTTCAGCTCAAGTCTACCAATGTTGCCATATAGCAATGAGTAGACTGTTGGGCTTTAGAAAAAGAAATAAGAACAACAGATTTATGTAGCTGAAACGAGAATTTTATGATGGATGGTAGGATTGATTAGAATGGATATGGTTTTTAGTCAAAGTGTGAGGGAGAAATTAAGAGTGACTCCTATTAGTGATAAAACAAGAGAAAGCTAGACTTAGGTGGTATGGACACATATGACGAAGACATGTCGATGCACCAGTATGTTTAAGAAGATTTGTTTCCACAAAAGGTAAGGAACAAAGACACAGACCAAAACTAACATGAGATGAAGTTATTAGAAATGACTTTTTTTTTTAAAAAAATTTGAAATGATTTAAAAAAAATTAAATGTGACAGGAGATGAGATGAAGTTACTAGGAATGATATATATATATATATATATATATATATATATATATTTATATAAATAAGTATAATAGGAGAAATGACTTGTAATAGGAAAGAGTGGAAAAAGAGAATTCATGTGGCCAAAGGGGTATGAAATTAATGCAAGGATGATGATGATGATGATGATAGTGATGATGATGCTTTTTAGAGAGAATTTTAGAACAGTTGGAATTGAGTTCTTTCCACTGGAAGCTGTAAGAATGATACAAGGGATTCATTTTTCCCCTTGATTCTTTAATTCTACATCCTTGCATTGACCGCAAACATGAAAATCGATAGTTTTCTCATCACTTCTATGTCCTTAAGCTTACATTATTATCACGTCCTTGTATTTGTGCTTTCTTTAATTACTGAGGCAATCATAGCTCTAATTTTTTTTCACCATTAACTTTTAACCTAATGGATTAGCTTGAACTGAAGGAATTGACTTTTATCTAAGAAAAACTAGAGGTTTTTATTTTTTTTATTGTACTTTTATTTCAACACTTAATGAAAGGATTAGTTTAGAAGAAACATTTAAGAAATGATCGAAGATGATTTGGGTATAGAATTAGACTTCTTTGGATTATATTAATGAACAAAACATGATTTGGATCGAAGTAGCTGAAGATTGTCGATTTAAGGGAAATGAAAAGGAAAAGAAAGAAGGAAGAGCTCAGTCTTGTCAATCACCCCATCTAAAGAGTTCTGATGTTTAAAATTGTGAATTGGGAATTCACTTCAAAAGAGATGATCACTATCTTTGCTATCCATTGTAGACCCCGGTAACTAGAAATCTTACTTCTTAATTAATTTAATTGTGATAATCAACTCAATCCTAGCTAAAAGAAATAAAAATAAATAAAAAAGTATGCACGCTGGCACATTATTGCTAAAGTAGCATGAGACCATGTTGCAAACAGTTATTCCATAGGCTGTAGCATGAAATACTTAATTACATAGGAACTTGCTTGCTGCAACACTTCTGAATCTTGTCACTGGCTCAGGTGTAACTATTTGCCAAGGTGCTGCTTTATAACCTAACTCAACACTTAATTCTGAATAGATCAAGTGATCTGTGTTGGGTACTACTTAAAAAATTAAGGTGTCACTTAAACTGAGTCAAATTTTAAGTGAAAGAGGTTTCACTTATCACTTAACATGGAATATGCTCAGTGATGTAGGTGTTGAAGGATTTAAATATTTAAGTTACGCCCTCTCTAATAGCTTAAGCTTTTGGAGTAAACACAGTAGGTTTTAACAATATTTCCATATAGACAAATTTTTTGTGATATAAAATTTCAAACTTCCACATGGAAGCATTTACGCTCTGCAACTACTCTCCAAGGCCCTCATGGTTCTCTCTTTCTTGTGTTTTCTGTGATCTTTTCTCTCCTGCAGTAACAATAGTAATTCATTCCAAGTTCCAAGTAGCAGCTTCATCATGGGCAACATAGTCACGAAGATATCAAGTCCAAGCTCTGTGAATAGGAATCTGATAAAGTAATTATGTATAATATGATGGTACTAGTTGATAGGATTCAGTTAAGCTAGGGTTTCTTCTTTTAATTGCTTAGCCATCTTTAATTCTTTATGGGTTTCAATTGCGTCAGATTCTTTTTGGAGGATTCGAGTTAATCCAGAATATGTATAATGTTAATTCGTGTATAAATTTATGTGTATATATGAATAATTGACTTTGCATTTCTGTGGGTTTGTGCCATATAGTACTATCTAATTTGATTTTTAAGCAAAATTGGGATTCACGTGGGTAGCTTACTCTCCATTGATTGCTATGTGTGCTTCTCTCTCACCTCTCCCCCCCCCCCCCCTTCCCCCCCTCTTCTCTTCTTCTTTTGTGTGCCGTCATGTGGATAAGAATATTCAAAGATTAATAAGGAGAAATACAATTTTATCCGGTCTTCTCAACACATGCTCATAGTCTTCCAAATGTTCACAAACTCCTTTTGAGATGAGAAGAAAGAAGTCCCTTTATTGGCTTGTGATAGGAATAAGAATCCTGTATTCAAATCTGTTATTCCTCATCTCTTAAGTGATCTAATGGAATATGAATGAAAACACACGCACGCACATAGAGATCATATTGAAGAAATTCAGTATATAGTCAAGAAATTTTGAAGATTCAGTATTTATCGTACTTTAAATTTTTGAGATGTTTTTCCATTAAATTTATTTTAAATATATTATAGTTCAACAATTTGAGATGTTTTGTCATTAGCTTTATAATATATTATCATAGTTTAAGAAATTTGAAAAATTAGAGAGAGTAGACTTAGATAGTTTGGACACATACATCAGAGACCTAGAGATGTGCCGGTCAAACGAGGAAGACTAGTTGTAATAGAAGGTAAGAGATGGAGTGGGCGACCAAAAAAAACATGGGATGAGGTTATTAAAAACAACTTTAAAAAGTTAAATATAATATGTGAAATGGTATGTAATAGAAAAGGTTGGGGGAAGAAAATTCATGTGGCCGACCCCATTCATGTTGGATTAAGGCAAGGATGAGATGATGATGATTCTGTATAAATTGAATATTGTGTTTGAAGTAGTAGTTTTTATGGTTTATTATACATTAAGGTTCTTTATTAAATTGACATATTAGTTTAATATTTATTGTTGTATATTATCAATTTTTTTGTATATAATGTATTTTAATGGTGGTGTTATATAATAATGAGGGTAAAATTTTGTACACTGTTCAGATTTCAATTATTTGTAATTATTAAGCAGGCTTAATAAATTCATTTTAAATTTCGGACATTATCAAACAGTACCCAGATTATACATTCAGTATTTAAAATTCCGCTCTTAAATTTTCAGTATTTAATTTTCATTTTTGTAAAATAGCACCTAAATCTGAATTTGCAAAGTAACTACTTGTACTTTATTCTAACTTAGTGACTAATGTCTACTACTTCAACCAACTAAGTGTTCCCCATCTAGATTATGATGACTCTATTACATAAAGTTTCATTAAAAAATTGCTTCTCTTCTTAAAGTACTCTGCATCATTTACAAGTCCTCAGTATGTTCAACACTTGATTTTCATGATGCATTTATATCTATGATTGATTGGATTTTTATTTAGAACAGAAGTGATAGCTTCTCAATACTTCTAATTAAGGTACTGTAATAGCAACATGTACATCATTACCACAGAGCCTACTAGTATGTGTGCTTATAGTGAGTTTCTGGTGAAGGGGACTAAATAAATTGCAATTTGTTGAAACTGATATCACTGTTGGTTTAAAGTTGAGAATGATTAGATGTTTTCGATTTCTGTATGAACTGATGTTCATATTACTTCCTTCTATAAATGTTAAACCAATGGTGTTGTCTTGCCTGATGTTGGTTCTGTTTTACAGGCATAGCTGAGCTCGGAGTGATGATGATGACTACAGTCTTAGTAACCATTGTTATGCTTCTTATATGGCAGATAAACATCATTATTGTGCTGAGTTTTGTTGTTGTTTCCTTGGGGATAGAATTGACGTTCTTCTCCTCGGTTTTATGGAGTGTGGGAGATGGAAGTTGGATCATATTGGTTTTTGCCATAGTTATGTTTTTTATAATGTACATCTGGAACTATGGGAGCAAGCTTAAATATGAAACTGAAGTGAAGCAGAAGTTATCAATGGATTTGATGCGGGGACTGGGTTGCAATCTTGGAACAATCAGAGCTCCTGGCATTGGCTTGCTCTACAATGAGCTGGTGAAGGGCATACCAGCGATATTTGGACATTTTCTCACCACTCTTCCTGCCGTCCATTCCATGATCATATTTGTGTGCATAAAGTACGTTCCTGTTCCTGTAGTGCCTCAGAGTGAAAGGTTTCTGTTCCGGAGAGTCTGCCCAAAAGGCTACCATATATTTCGTTGCATTGCCAGGTCTGTACTTTCCATTCTTTAAATCTTTCCTTTTTTGATATTTCTTGTTAAGTGGAATCTATTCTCCTCAACCTACTGTACTAAATCCATGCAAAAATGGCTTTTCTTGAATAAACTCTAGTTGGTGTGACAGAGCATTTCCTTGAAATAGAACTGATTTGCAATCCAAACTTTCTTCTTCTTTCTCCTCCTCTTTTTTTTTTTTTTCTTCGTAAATTCGTTTGCATAACTACATACTCTGCCTTTGATTGCTGGAAAGACAGTAAATAAATATAAACTTTGGACCTATCATTTGTTTTTATTGGGTGGTGAGCCGTAAAAGTTTAATTCATCTCTTTTCATTGGACTTCTTTGCAAGTAAATGGAGAGTTGATGCAAATGGGCATTGTGCCAAATGAATAATACATCATTAAGAATTTGTCGGTGTGTGTTCAAGCATTTTTGGTTTTGTATGTATTATATATACATAAATATTTTCCTTCTCTTTGCTTTTTTTAGACAGACCCTGAAATTCAATCCAATCACTTGCCACTAACAGGTATGGCTACAAGGATGTTCGCAAAGAAAATCACCAGACATTTGAGCAATTGCTAATTGAGAGTCTTGAGAAGTTCATTCGCAGGGAAGCCCAGGAACGATCGCTGGAGAGTGATGGGGATGACGATTCAGATTCTGAAGATGAATCTGGCACACGAGTTCTCATTGCTCCCAACGGTAGTGTCTATTCGCTTGGCGTTCCTCTCCTGGCTGATTATACGGACACTAGCAATCCCATCTCTGAAGCCAGCACTTCTGGGGTTGTGAAGTCAGATGAGGAGCCTCCCACAGACCCATCCATGTCTGATTCAGATCAGAGTCTCGAGAAGGAACTGTCTTTCTTACGGAAGGCCAAAGAATCTGGGGTAGTCTATCTTCTTGGTCATGGGGACATTAGGGCGAGGAAAGATTCCTGGTTCATTAAAAAGCTAGTCATAAATTACTTTTACGCATTCTTGAGAAAGAACTGCAGAAGGGGGATTGCGAATTTGAGTGTACCGCACTCTAATCTGATGCAGGTGGGCATGACTTACATGGTTTGAAATTTGAAGTATGCAACCAAAATAAGGAAAATTTACTTTTGACACCAGAAGTTCGACCGAAGTGATTGAATTCTGGAAAAAAATGGCCATCGGTGACTACTGGTACATTCTTTAGCAATACAGGCTGAATTTACACAAATGGTTGCATTCTTCTTGCCTGCTCATGCCGGGCGTTTTGCATCTGCAGATTTTGAAGCTCTCTTAATCTTTATTGTTTGGGAAGTTTTGTAGTTCTGCTCCTTGGTTGCCTTCCCTGTAACGATTTTTACAGTTTTGACGGATCGACTGTTGTATACATGTTCAAGTTATGTGAATGCAGTTCTGGATAACATAATCCTACATCTATTTGGTTTTTTGTCTATACAATGTTAGATTGGTTTTCAAGCAAACCATCTCATTCACGTAGAAAATCACCTGTTACTGAGAATTTGAGAACAGCGTTATTATTAATTGGGAAATCTCTCTTTCCCAACCTCCACTGGAAATGGCCGTGGCAGCAAGAAAAATAGCTCCCAACACTGGTCTTGTTTTTCACTATTTATGTTAAGTAGGATGGCAATTTGTACCGTCCCGCCGGAGCCCCGCCTTGTGTGGCATGGGTATGGGTACCGTAGGGGTAATAGGTATGAATTTAGATTTTAAATCTGTCGTCGGGGGGCAGGAGGAATGGGTTTTGAGAAACATCCGCCCTGTCCGGCCCTTTATACTTTTATTTTTTAATATATATATATATATATATATCTATGTGTGTGTGTGTGTGTTATGGTTGTTTGCACATTATTGTGTTATCACGTGTATCATTATTTATTATCATTATTTATTACTTCTTCCGTCCTAAAATAGTTGAGTTTTTTGGAAACGGTGACTTATAATATACCCAACTAAGTCTATTTTCGGGGTATGTATTTACATTCAATAGAATTTATAGATTTTATCAATGTATATATATAGATAAAAAAATAAAAATAAAAACGTAAACGGGGCAGGCACGGGTACACTCATCTCCTAACGAGCGGGTATGCATTGTTTACTTTAAACTTGGGTATGAATTTGTCTAAAATTAAACGGGTCGGGTACAGATTTAGAAAAATCCGCTCATACCCAACCCATTACCTTCCCTAATGTTAAGGGTAAATTATACCAACCTTTCTTGAAATTTAGACAAATTATACAAAATAGACGGTTCGTCAGTGACTTTGAATATGAAAAGTCAATAATATTATGATTTTTATACAAGAACAAAATTGTCATTTTATATAATTTGTGTGAGAGTTCTACCGAATGTAATTTGTCAGAATCTCAATCTTTGGAAGGTAATTAGAAAATCTTATTTATTTATTTATTATTTTAAGTTATAGACATTGATTTGCAACTATTGAACTACAAAAGGTAATTATGAACTACAATATTCATTTCACAATCCTTTCTTCATTTTTATATATTTTTTTATTATTATTTTTTTTCAAAATAAGAAATATTAAAAATTAAATTAATAAATTTAGAGAGTCGAATTCTGAGAATCTAAAATTTACGGGGTGACACTCACCCAAGACTATGGAGGCATAGGCACAAACCTTCCAATTTAAAGGCCTGTTCAGGGGCAATTTGGTCTTTTTACTCATGACTCTAACGTGTGATGTGAGGGAGTATCAGATGTTAGAGATTCATGTGAAATTACTAAATTAACCTCTCATTATATTGTTTTTGCTATTTATCAAAATAGATATGGCAAATTACTGTTCTACCCCTAGTACCAATGGAGGGAAACAAGCTGACCGAATTTCATATCCATTTTTGCTGGGTTTATGAACTTTGCAGAAACATCTTGGCGTCCTAGTTCTCTCTCTCTCTATCTCTCTCTACCTCAAGAACCCATCTCTCTACAGATCAAAGACATGGTTAGCGATTGTTTAAAGAAAAGAGCTTGATTTCATCGTCAATCAAGTGTGTTGATTTTAGACACAATCGAAGGATATGAAGCGAGGTTACGAGGAATCTTCGTCGTCGGCCTCTCTTCGACCGCTTCAATCCAGTGGGTAATTTTCATTTTTCTGTGAAACCCATTTTTCCACGAGTTCTGATTTGTGGATTTCATGAACCAAATATTGATTATGTGGTTAGTTCACTAATTTTACAGTCATGGGTATTGGGTTTTTGAAATTTGAAACTCAACCATCCGTTTGGTGGCTGAGAAAGCAGTATATGCTGAAAATTTTGATTTTTTTGGATCACAAGTACCATTTTTTTTTTTCCCCCCTTTTAATTTAACAATCTATTATGAAATATATATATATATATTTTGGTATGTATGGATTTCAGTTATTAATGTGAAGGAAATATTTTATTATAACCTAAGAAGCACGGATACGTCAAAATTGTAATTGTAAACGAGTTGGACACGGACAAGGCTAATATAAATATAAATTTTCATTTATATATCTATTGAATGAGACAATCATATAACTTTAATTAATTTATAAATTCTATACAAAAGTTATATAAATTAGAAGATGATGTAATTCAAATATAAAAAAGAATATGTTATATTATAAATGATATTACTATCCTATCTTATCATTATAGTTATGTATTTGTTTTTTAGATGTTGAATAATTTGATGCATGTTCATAATGTTGTTTCTGGGATTGTCGTGTGTTTGTTTTATATAAGACGAAAAGTATAAGATGTGTTGATAAAGTGTCTGGAGTGTGTGGACCAAGTGTCCGAGATGTGTTGGCCAAGTGTCCCAGATGTGTCGGCCAAGTGTTCAAAACAATAAAATTTATTTTTTAAATAATGGACACTGCCATGATATGTAGGACACATATCTAAGAATGTTCATGGAGTGTCAGTGTCCGACATGGTGGAAAATTTGAATCTTCCAATAGCTATTAGAGATGGTGTCATGAGGTTTGAACTTGGGACCATGTTAACAACCCTTTATTCTAAAAGCTATTGGAAGATTCAAATTTTTACAACCACTTGTTTTGCATCACATGTTTTTGGTTCTACCAACAATCTAAATTTAGCAGCTCTTGAAGCTACAATGGCACATCAAATTTGTTTTTATTATGCATTAAAAATTTTGTTTTTCTTTCTTAATTTTCATTATTAGCCATAATAAAAAGCACCTATTATTTCTCATTTTGTTCCTGATAACAGGGAAGCTCATGTTGACTATAGGCATTGAAGGACCAAAGAAGTACCCTTTGTTGTAGGGCACTTCCTCTTTCTCTCCCCACAAGACCAATATTAACCAAAACACATAAAACTAAAAAAATAATAATAATAAATCTTTTGGATTCTCTTTGTAAGAGATAGAGAGAGACTGAAAATGGAGGAAAATCCTGTGGAAGAAAATTTAACAGTTTCAGTTGTTATGGTTTGCATAATTGCAGCTTCGGCTGGTTTGATGTTTGGCTATGATGTTGGCGTTTCTGGTTAGTCACACACAAATCATCACACACCCACACACACAAACATGACACATATAAACATATTAATATATGTTCCAGTAATTTTACACATGCATCTGGATTCTGTCACCTTTGAAATTGAAAATTTAGAAACATTTGTATGAGACTTCTATTACCAGATTTGTGCACCTTTTTTCAGTTAATGTTATCACAAGCATGCATTCACACACACACATACATATATATATATATTAATTTCAGCATAGTGCTAGGACTTCAATAGTTTGGTTAATGTTTAAATAATCCACATAATGTCTGAATTATTATTCCCAAATTACTCAAATTTTCTCTGTTTTTCAAGGCAAGAAACGTAGTTTCATTGAAAATCAACTTTGAAAATGATTACAACCCTTTGGCACTAAATTATACTACTTAACACGACAGGTGGAGTTTATGGCCATTTATTTTCTACTCCGAACTTACATATCAATTTGATTTGCCATGCACGACCAAGTCCAACTCCGACTAATTAGTCCTCAGCAGTCCCAAGTTCTATTAAATCATCTCAATCGTATAGTTGAATAGCATCAGAATGTTATATTGAACTCACATCATCTACTTTACATTTCATGCTATGACATTGTTAAAATGCAGGAGGTGTTACGACAATGGAGCCATTTCTAAAGAAGTTCTTCCCATCGGTTCTGAAGAAGACGGCGGACACCAGGCAGAATGTCTACTGCATATTCGACAGCCAGACCGTGACTGCATTCACCTCTTCACTGTACATTGCTGGTCTGGTGTCATCCCTAGTAGCTGGCTTTGTCACCACAGCAGCTGGGCGCAAAGGCACTCTGATTCTTGGCGGTGTTAACTTCTTACTCGGTGCTGCCCTTAATGCCTTTGCCATGAATGTGGTGATGCTCATTGCGGGACGCCTCTTCCTCGGATTTGGAATTGGTTTTGCAAATCAGGTGCATCATTTTTTCCCGAATAGTTGGTTCTTTTGTAAGATTATATGTCCTGTGTTTTAAAACTTGGTCATCTTCATCGTCAAATAAGATACCAAACCTCAAACCCTGTCCAAAGAATTGAAGTACAAATAGACTCCGAATCCAAACAGGCTTACAAAAATTGATCTAAAACTTGATTATCATGCATTGGAAGAACTGAAGTGCTTCATTAATCTATTTTTGGTGAGTTACTGATCAAAACAATCATGCACATCACTTAATCAGGTCATAACTACCCCAAATGTAACCACTAAATTCTTGAGCAAATATATACCAAAGTAGCAATGGAAAGAAAAAAATAGTAACTAGTTTTCAACTTTTCTTTTAGAACACAATATTAGTACTACAATAATTCAATCAGGAAATACAGAAAATTCTTTCAAAGAGCCTTACAATTGTTAAGATATCTCAAAGAAACGCCAATCTGTTCTCAAGAATTAGAGAAGGTAGATTATGTAATAAAGAAACCCTAAAATGAGCCACATAAAAAAATAAATTAAAAAAAAAAAAAGGTTGATAGAACCCCTTCCACATGATATAAATGCTACTGGTTGACATATAATACACTAATTGACATATTCATACGGGATTCACTTGATGTCATCTTATCATTATCTAAAACAAGCCATGCACACTACTACATAAATTCTTACATAAAACACATGACATGGTTTTCATCATTTGTTACAAAACCGAAATGACTTTGATATATTTTCTTTCTTTTTTCCCTCAAGAAATTTATTGATTTTTAGTAGAAATGATTCGAAGGAGTGAATTCAACAATTTTTGTCTTTATGCCAAGTTTATAGAGCAAAATTTGTAGTTCCATAACTCGTCTTTTGTTTTTTTGGGGTGGGTAAGGTCTCTTCATATCATATGTCTGTGGTGTTACAATTATAGGCTGCTCCCGTCTATCTCTCAGAAATGGCTCCACCAA